TCCATTCCTATGGCCCCTTTTCCCTTCACTTTCAACCAAGTAGTATAAACAGTTTGACGTCTGGAAATAGGCAGGTGACCTCTTAATTTAAAAAGCCTCAAGTTGTTCTCTGTTATTAGGAATAGCAATGACCATCATTCTACACATCTGTGGATCCTTAACATTCTTGAAGAGAAAAACAATTCAATTACAAGACCAATGCCAACTGTACTGATTTTAATGTGACGAAACTGATTTAAATTCCAAGTGCTTATATAAGCCTAAGTTTAGATCTTTTATATCATGGTTATAGTTCCCAGTCAGAAAGCCAAGTTGTAATAAATTTCTGTCCAACATGAAAAATATACACACATATAAGTGTTAGGTGTGTATAAACTTTCTTATTGGCCAAAGCACCTGAAGATGATAAGGGTCAACAAATAGAGTTATTAAATCAATCATGTTATGCAAAAGTAAAGAATTAGACAAATGGAATAGTCAGGGCAAAGAAACTATTGTCTTAGGAAAGAAACCAATTCTTGCCAGCCTGGTCTTTAGTTCTGGCCTGATTCACTGAGTCAACAGAGTAACTCTGTGTTGAGGTCTTAAAATTTGAGAGTAAGTGCTATGCTAAGTTCCCTTCCCTTGAGTGACATCAGAAGCAACCTGCGTGTGCTGAAATTCAACTATGGAACTTTACTTGGGACTCTAGAAAATAACAAAAAATAAGTAAAAAGTGTCCATTTGAACATCTCAGGGTTCTGAACCTGTCACTTGGGTTTATATGTCCCTAGTGCCACATGTTGAATAACTGCATATTTCAGGGGCAGAATCCAGAAGTGACACATTCTTTATCCAATTTTCTAAGAGATGAGTTATCCAAAGTGATATAGATACTTCGAATATCTGATTTCACAGTGATTTACAGGCCATTAACAATCACTGTTTCCTTTCATTCTAATTCTTCAATTAGGAAATGATTGACATTAAAATGAGATTCTGCATCTACATATGAAAGATTGCATGCACGTTTTGTAAATATTGTTAATGTCTCTAAGATGTTTACTATTGACTCAAATATTATTAACAGATACTGTATTGCCAGTAAATATATCATGGGATATAAATATATTTCCTTTTCCCTCTTAAATTTAGGTTCTTTTCAATGTAACAGTTATGATGACAAATTGTGATGTCACAAAAGGAAAAAACTATGCAATAATCAAGCCTATTGGTTTCAATGAAACCGCTAAAATTCATATAGACAGAAGCTGCAGCTGTCAGTGTGGGGAGCACAGAGCACTGAAAGGACGGTGTGTGGCTGACACTTCCATGGATTCCAAGTGTCCACAGTGTGACGATGGTAAATGTCATTTTGACGAGGATCAGTTTCCATCTGATACTTGCAAGTCTCAGGAGGATCAGCCTGTCTGCAGTGGGCGAGGTGTTTGCATCTGCGGGAAGTGCTCATGTCACAAAACTAAGCTTGGAAAAGTATATGGAAAATACTGTGAAAAGGATGACTTTTCTTGCCCATATCACCATGGAAGTCTGTGTGCTGGTAAGTACAATGTACAAAGCAATAGATGAATCACAATTATATCAGGATGTACATTTGTGTATCTTTGAATCAAATGCGACAGATTGCTGCCACTCAACCCAAATTCAAAATTCGAAGTCTCAAAGTCTGTGAAGTTAGGTCACGGCACCAACATATTTATATTTTTAGCTTAAGCATAGTAGATATGCTTTAAAATGAAAGCCTAAAATTAAATACTAATCTCATGTAGCCCTTGATATTGGAATGAGAAGGAAATGACTGATGGCTGACACGTTCCCTAAGAGAATAACGGTATTCTTCTATAAGGGTCTGATTCATCTGGCAAGGGGTCAACCCCTCCAGCTTGCTGGGGGTAGTTTATTTCTGTCAGGATGAGAGGAAGTTAGCTATAAAAATATAATTTCACTCACTGGAAAATTCTTAATGCATCATTGTAGACGGTATTGTAAGTTTGCAGTCATTCAGACCCCACCAAGTCTGTTTTTAGAAAACCACTAGCAACAGAATTCACAAAATACAGTGGTCTGCATGAACATATTGTACTGTTAAGTAATCTAGAAGGTTCATCTTTATGACCACACACAGACCAAATTTTGCAAAGAAATGTAATAAAATAGAAATATCAAGATTTTTTTTTTTTTTTACTAATTCAGTTCACTGCCACCTACTGGTTACAGTCCCAAAAATGTATGCAGCATTTGAAAATTAAAACAAAATATTGTTTAAAATAAATTAGGCTATCTGTCATTTGAGTTCCTTGATAGTTTTCCCATGACAGTGTAAGTTCACATAACACAAAATGGCTTTTATGCATTTGTGTATTAATAAATAAATATGAGTTAAATTATTGACAAATGGAAATAGTTCATTAAACCTATAAAAATTAATTTTCTATTCTTGGGTAAGCTGAAGGTTTGGCCTATATTACCTAAATATGCTATTGCAAATTGTCTTTTTACTCTATTACATACATAGAATGTTTTATGTTCCCGATGTTCATTCATCTGTAACTAGGAATGTGGATAGGTTGAATTATAGATGACTTCAGAATGAACCATCAGTCATCTATTATATTTTATAGGGAAAAGTAATATTATTTTACAAGGAAGAAAAGAACAAAGTTTCTAACATCAGTCAACATAATTGCTTCTCAAAGCAGTTTCAGGTATATTGAGAATTCAAGGTTCTGCACTAAAATCTCAAAAGTTCATATACTGACCCTGTCTGTATGGCTGTGATGCCCCCCACCCCCACACACCCCCACACAGGAAAATCTGCTTTAAATTGCAGTCTGTGAGTACAAACTGTAGGTCGGACATGCAGCTTTTCTACTGCTCTCCCTTTCGAGTGAAAGCACATGTTCACAGGACAGCTGGCCAGGATTCAGCATGCAAAGTACACAGGGGAACAGGCTCTGGCAGCCATTTGTTAGCCTGGACCTTATTAATTTTACACTTAGCAAATTGAGCTGATCCAGCAGTAGGCTCTATGGGGCTATTAACCTGTGAGGTACTCAGTAATAAGATCGGGGTCGGGGGGGAGTAAAGAAAAGAGGGAGGAAATAGAAAGAAGGAAGGAGGGAAGAGGGAGAAAGAGAAAGAAAGGGAGGAGGGGAGGAAAAGAAGGCTGTTTAGTCTGTAGTCAAATAAGCTTGAGAAATATATAAAACCTTGTAAAATGTGCCTCATTTTGAAGATTTCTACTTCATATTGAGACTGGCACTTTAAATACTTCCTATAGACTAAAATTTTGGATACTTTCTAAAGGCTAAAATCCATTTAATGATGTATCACCAATATTTTCTCAAATTACTTGCCTGCATAAATGCCCTTCCTCTTACTCCCATGCAATCCCCTACAACACACACCATCTTCCTTTCTCTTTCCCATTTACCAACTAATCACAGCTCCTAGCCAGATTCAGCCTCCCCTGCTAAACTCCTGAAGGATGTTTGAAGGACATGAGGGTATTATTTCATCTTCTCCGAAGACATCTTTAAACACGGCGGGAACATCACAGAAGCACTAGAAGGCTAACCCCATCATCCTGCAAACTTTTGGGGGTCCTTAGCAGCAGTGAGAAGGATAGATTATGGAAGCTATTGATCAAATGATCTTTGCTTGTTTCAAGTAAGACTACATGATGTCAGCCTTTGTAGTTTCTTGTTTGTTTTTCATTTAAAAACTTCAATGTACAATGTCATCAAAGCAATTGGACAGTCACTGAAGTAGGGCTTCCTTCATAGTATGTTAACAGTGAGAAATTATCTGTAAGAGAATAGCTTTTTAAATAGCCACTCCTAAATCCTGGCACTGTTATGTCCAATAAGCAGAAACCAATGCTGTTTCCTTGAATGTTAGTGTTTCCATGGAGACCAGAAGAGAAACCTACCCAAGTCTATGGTCCAGGTAATCTCGACTCTGATATGTCTTTGTTGCAGGACATGGAGAGTGTGAAGGGGGAAGATGCCAGTGCTTCAGTGGCTGGGAAGGAGATCGGTGCCAGTGCCCATCAGCATCAGCCCAGCATTGTGTCAATTCCAAAGGCCAGGTGTGCAGCGGAAGAGGCACATGTGTGTGTGGCAGGTGTGAGTGCACTGACCCCAGGACCATTGGACGCCTCTGTGAGCACTGCCCCGCCTGTCATCCAGCCTGCAGCGAAAACTGGTATGAGACTGGCTCTGGCAGCAAGGCAGTTCTTCCAGATGACTGTGTTTTGCCTTCATTCGTCTTAGTAATTCTTGAATACATAATTACTATCATAGGAAAAAAAATTGAGTGGGGAATTTTAAGATTTAGGCTACTATAATTCCAGTCTATGCCCAGTAGGTAGCTATAGGTGAATCAGAATAATCTAAATTCACTCCTTTGGATTTTTTAAATAATTTTCTTATTGGCTGCCTGCTAGCTAGTTGTGATATATTACATTATTAAAATTATCTTTTCCGGGGCTGGAGAGATGGCTCAGCGGTTAAGAACACTGGCTGTTCTTGCAGAAGACCCGGGTTTGAATCCCAGCACCCACCCAGCATCCACATGGAGGCTAAAAACCAAACTGTCCGTAACTCCAATTCCAGGGGATCTGACAGCCTCTTCTGACCTCCGTGGCATTGCACAACATGAGTGTGCTTACCTACATGCAGGCAATACACACATACACATAAAAATAATAAATAAAATAGTAAAAAATTCTTTTAAAAATTATCTTTTCCTCTATTTAATAAATAAGGCTAATAATTATGTTATGGTTTGTGAATGAATTGATTTAAAATTTAATCAATTAAATCAAAATTTACAAAATTTTTCACTATGTGTATGGCCATCAGAGAGTATATGTGAACCATTGTGACTGCATTCTGATTTCAATATTTTTGACATAAAGAATTCATTACCATGAAGCACTACAGTGACATATAAATGGAAGGCCATGTTACGTGAAGGTGGTATTATTATTTTCTGTTAAATATATTTTCCAATAGCAATTGGAGACTTTCTCAAAGAGCATTGATGTAAATATCACCATGCTTCCAGTTCGGCTTATTTAAATTTTTAAAACATGTACTTTCTCAGGTAATAACTCAAGTGAGAATTTTAGAATTATGTATAGTGAATTATTCAAACCATTTCTAAATGTAAAATTTCAACATAATAGTAGAGTTCTAGCTATTCGTTTATTTATTTATTCGGTACTAGATTGAATCTTGGGGCCTCACATTTACTGGGAAAATGCTCTACTACTAAGCAACATCCCCAGGCCTTAACATTTTTCAATTTTTCTCTTTTCAGATAGTGTCTCACAAAGTTGTCCAGGCTGGCCTTGAATTTACTCTGTAGCCTAGGCAGTCCTAGAACTTGTAATCCTCCTGCTTGAACCTTCCGAGTAACTGGAATTACAGGTCTGGGCTACCAGGTTCTGCTGTTGAAGTTATTTCCGATGGGCACAATCAAAATTTGAAATGTCTATTCATTGTTATTTTTTTTCTCACAGAAAATATCAGTGTGTTGCATTTTTAAAATAAGTAACCTTTTCAAATTCCCCTCACAGGAATTGTATGCAGTGCCTTCACCCTCACAATCTGTCTCAAGCTGTACTTGACAAATGTAAAGCCTCCTGTGCTGTCATGGAACAACATCGTTTGGAGCAAGCATCAGGTAAAGCAGAGCTTTGTAATGGTGCTCTGAGGAGTAAGTGGAAGCTCGTGCTGCTGAAGGGCCTGCCACTCACCATTCATCTCAGACACAAAGGAGTGGTGGCTTCATTAGGAACTACTGGTTTACTGTTTCAAATAACTTTATTGGTCTCCCACAGATATACAAAAAAAAACCCCAGAAAAACAAAAATCATACTTATTCATGTATCTAATTGCATGAGTTGGTGATTTACTTTTAAATCTCCCAAGGGTTACAGTATGCATGAGTTGTTAGAATAGACATCACATCCTTACAGTTCTGTTTCTGTGCTGCCTACCTCCACAGAGGAGCACCCAAATGAATTATCTAGAAGGGCTTCTAAGAGCCAAAAATATAGGTTCCTCATGTAGACTCATTTCACTCCAAGTCGAGGGCACATATTTTTCCTGACTTCCACTTATCTACCACCATTTACTCTCATGTTTCAGGCAAAGCCTTGAGATTTTAAGTGATCACCTGTTTTGTGGTATAACATAACTTCAAAAGGTTCATTCCTCTCTAGTCTTCATCCTGATAGAAATACAGCTTAGGGTCTTGGGAATGTACCACTGTAGATAAGTGCTTGCCTAGCATGCATGAAGCCCTAGTTCAGTCCCCAGCATTGCATAAAACCAGCCACAGTGGTGTATGCCAGCACTTCAGAGGTGATGCAGGAGGATCAGAAGTTCAAGGTCAGCCTTAGCTACGCAGAAGTTCAAGGTCTGAGCTACATGAGAACCTGTCTGCAAAAAAGGGGGAAAAAAGGAAAGAGAAGTAAAAGCTATAGCTCAAAAGAGCATGATTCTAAATGTGGCACTAGGGAAAGGGGATGGAGCTTTTATGCTGAAGACCTCAGTCTAAAACAGAAGTTAAGAACTATCAGCCCTTCTGCAAATTTCCCTCAGCCTGTTTCTTCAGCCGTAAAATAGAGTGTAGGACCAACCTCAGAAGGTTGCATGACATTAAATGAGGCAGTGAACACACCAGAAGTATTTTGTTAAGATGACACATAAACAGGAACGGCATGTGAGAACCATGTTCAAAACCTGTTATTTAAACAAAAGTTTATTGGAACCTCTCCGCCCAAAGCATCAGAATCCCAAGTTGCATGGGTTTAAGGTGCAGAATCACCCATGAAGCAGAGCTTTGGCTTGAGATCAGAGCTTCACTGAAAACTCTCTTGTTGCATCTACTATATGTCAAATCTCTTCTCCAACCTGAATGGAAAAGCCCAGCTTCTAGAGAAAGGAGAGAAGAGGAAATACCCTCTACATCTTGGTTTCCCTCTTCTCACTCCCATCCACACTGATCTGAGCCCACAATGAATTTGGCTCAGAAAAGAGTCCCATGTGCTGCCAGCTGGGGCTGCAGCAGTCCCTCCTGAAGCCAAGTGCCTTTCTAATAAAGAGATCCCCTACTATCAACATGTCATGTATTATGTTAAGTAAACACTACTCTGACTTAAGTGTTGTTACGAATAGGAAACCCTTAAAGCTCCTTAGAAAAAGACCTAGCCTGACCTCAGCTAAGAAAAGCATAGGCCAGGGGCAAATGTTTGACCATCCATAACAACATGTAAAAAAAATCTGCAGATTTCAGCCCTCAAAAGGTCCTCTGGCTGACCTATTAGCAATATTTCTAAAGTGTATCAGTAGCTACAGGGCTCTCTTCCTCTTGACAAGTATTGTGCAAGGATTGGGAAAGGGCATTTGTGAGGCACCTCTATTATCTGTCCACTCAATCACACTTACAGGGTCTTCTTTCAGTCTCTCTGGCCAAGCTCCCAACAGGCAAAAAGCCAGGAAGTGGGATCAAGTCACATGCCCCCTCTGAGGATCAGCCTTAGCTGATAGAGTAGCCTAAGTCAGCCAGCGGGCATCACAGTCTGTCAGGACAAAAGCCACGAGTGTCATTAACTTGAAGGATGCTGTGGAAGATCAAACAGCACCTCCTTTGAACACATTATGTGTTCTGTCTCCATGAGATTCTTAACAAGGAGGTTTTGTACTGGTTTCTGATGTTTCCATTCCAGTGACTAGCACTGGGTGTGCTTTTTACCTTTTCAAGGTCCCTTATCACTGAAAAGAGAAATTGGGCTCTATTAAATCGCCTGAGCTGGAGAGGACCCCTTGTCCCATCGCTGAGTCCTTGCCTTGTTCAAGAGGTGTACTAGGTTATCACCAGAAGTTCAGGCCCAAATCAGTCTGCTCTAGGCCTTGGCAGATCCTCTCTCAAGGACAACTTCATCATTAAGACAAGGTTCCTGAAGTCTGTAGAATGGGTGGAGAAATGCATGCCCCTTTAGTCCAGGAAGAAATTTTATGAATCTGGGGCAGCTGGTGAGTTCTGTGGAATACCCGCTGTTATGCAACCATGTTCTTCGGAGATTAGGGTAATACCTCTTGACAACAACAGAGCTTGCAGATTTTCCACTGAGAGTTTTGTCAGAGGTCCGGTGCTAAAACAGAGATCTCCCTTAACAGCTTTTCTTTCTCCAGTTAGAAATTGTTTGTTCTTGGAAGAACACATAATGAAATGTGGAGGCAAGCAGACTAGATTAGTAGAAAGTTAATTAGTAAACAGTGAGACAAGAGATTTGTGTATTGTCCCAAATAGGACACTGCTACTTCCCAGAGACACTATGTGTAATAATAATGAAATCTTACACTTAGACACAGAGGAAATATTTATTCATCTATTAGAGTGGCACTGATTTTAGCTTCTGCAGATGTTTATTTTCCATTACTGCTGTGCAAAAAATGAGGAGAAAACATAACAGAAGAACACATGCTCATCCCCAGAGCTGCTCAATATTTTTTTAAATAATGCTTTCTGCTTAGTGCTCAATAGTACACACCACAGAGACTGTCCCTTTTACTGACATAAACAAAATTTCATTTAGGTAAGAGATTTGAACATATCAAACTACAAAGAAAGAATGTCATCAAATATTTAATCATGGGTTTTTTCCAAAACATGGTTTTCTGCTGAGAATATTTTAATAATAAATGTACAATAAATATTAGAGAGTTTACTGTTTTGAGTCAACAGTAATGTCAGCCCCATGTTTTGGAAATACAGACTTGTAAATATATCTGGTTCTATTAAAAGAGATGTAAACATCATTTATTTGCCAGAATCTTTTGATTTACTCACTCTAATTCTTCAACCCACTGATTTGTTTGCTTTCTTGCAGAATGTTTATCTGGCCCAAGCTATTTGAGAATATTTTTCATCATATTTATAGTTACATTCTTGATTGGATTGCTTAAAGTCCTTATCATCAGACAGGTGATACTGCAATGGAATAGTAACAAAATCAAGTCCTCATCAGATTACAGAATGTCTGCCTCCAAAAAGGTCAGTGAATTCTAAAAGAAGATGACTGTCAGCATGCCATTGACTCATCATAATATTGAGGTCCTTAACTAATAATAATATTTCTTCTCCCTCAAGGATAAACTGATTTTGCAAAGTGTTTGCACAAGAGTGGTGACCTACCGACGTGAGAAGCCTGAAGAAATAAAAATGGATATCAGCAAATTAAATGCTCACGAGCCCTTCAGGTGCAACTTCTAAAGAAAGATTTTTAAAAATACTTTGTGAGAAACTGGATTTTTTACAGATTTGCTCCTAGAAAGTATAAATTGAAAAGTCACAGGAGGAGACAAAATTACTGAAAACCATGCCAATTTCTGGCTGTATACTCTCCTGGAAATGGGCAAGCATCCTCACCATCATGTGACTCACCCAGCTGCTGAAGTTTTCAGAGAACAATGTGTCTTACTACTGTTGGAGACTAGTGTCATTGTAGCACTTTACTGTAATATATAACTTATTTAGATCAGCGTAGAATGTAGATCATCTGAAGAGCACTGATTACACTTTACAGGTACCTGCCATCCCTGTGCTTCCCAGAGAGACACAATGCTATGAGACAGGTTAGTATTGTGTCCTGACCACTGTGCAGTCATCCCAGCACAGAATCTGCCAATGAAAACCATCCAGGAGTTACATAAATTGCCAAGCTTGTCAACAATCGGCATTGTCTAGATGTGCACAACCAACTGAATAAATGGTTAGTGTTTCTCTCCTGCAGGAGGCAAGCAGATAAAACCTTAATCCTAAGGGATATTGTTTTTGAAACTATATGATTTGATGCATGTGAGTTTCTGTTTCCTTCTCTTTATGAAATGTATATTATTAACTCAAACATTTTCTTCTTTTAACCTTCCTTTTTTGTTTTTTCTTCTTTATGGAATAAGTTTTTTATATGTCACAGATGACTGGATTAAATAAGTGCTAAGTTACTACTGCCATAAAATCCTATAAGACAATGTCACTTTATTAGAATACTGGTTTTAAAAGCTGAATGTTAATAACTGTCACTGTAAAGTATCATCTAAACCTTCTTTGTTTGAAGATGTAGTTTCTTGTTTTCTTACCTGTTAACTGGATGGATTGTTTCACCTTTTGGTTGGTCTGATCTGTAAACTGAAATCCACAAGGTATTTACAAACTCTGTCTCAAAGAAAAATACCCTATTTTCTGAGTGGGTTCTCTTAGATATTTTACTCCAAGTAGCAACATTTTTCAAATGAAAAGCTTTATTCTTTTTGCCCTCCCCTGCAGTCCAAGGGCATGCTTCCTCTCAATCATCCCAACCCTACTCATAAGAATTCAGAAAAGTATAAAATTAAAGGAGGGTGGGTGATATCTTGGAAATAAGCTAATTCTCCATTTTGGCTAGAGAGTGAGGCCTGAAAAAACATTTATATGATTACATACACACACACACACCCAACACACACAAAGACCACACAAAAAGATGCAGTGGCAGCATTAGAAAAGATTTTTGCCTTCCAATTACAGGCCACTGTTCATTGCATAATATGCTACCTCTTAAATCTTTAAAACATCCAATTGGCAAGTCTTTTTTAAATATATTTTACTGAAGTCATAAGTATATTTGCATGAGAATATCTCAAAGCAAAGAAGAATAGGTACTTTAAATGGAATTGTATCAAACAGTCTTTTCCATTAATCACCTTCTGATAAGAGACTGCAGTATGGCAAACTACAGGGGAAGCCCTTCACATAGCAGCTGTTGTAAAATCAAGCACCTCCTAGAGCTGGCCACTGTTCACCTTGAAGCCTTGACGCTTGAAGGCCTTGAGTTCTAACTTCCAGCTGCCCTGTGTACTACACAGTGTTTTGCCTGTGACAACAGGAATTTAGCTAAAGAAATATCTCCCAGAATTGCCTCTTTCCAGCACTTGAATGGTCTAGATTTTTGCAATTTGATGAAAACTAATCTTCGTCTTGTATTCCACCCTAAAGACTGGAAAGCATGCAAGTTATTCTGGAGCTAGAAAGCATGACAACTCTTTTAGCAGTCATTCGCAGGCAGTGATGATGATAAAGACCTTAAGTCTTGTTGTTCCCCAGTGAGGATGGGCAGCTTTGACATACGCTATACTGTGGCTCCCTTATGTTAAGAAAACTGGGGTCACTAAAGGTAATGTGAAAACTGTATTTTGTTTCCTATAACAGAATATCCTTTCATAAATGCATAAATAAATGGGTGCTCGACAGTCCCCAAAGGAAAAAAGTGGAAGATATCTATTAATTAAATGCTGACAACTTAAAAGTGAACATTACAGTGTTTACGAACAATAGATCGATTTCCACATAGAATAAGCAAAAGCATAATAAAATGAAATCCCTGAAAAACAAGATTTATGCTTTTGTAGGCCCTTACTAGATTGCACTAACTTTAAGATAGACCAAGGCTGTTACCACAGGAAAAGACAAATGTCCTTGCTGGAGATTCAGTGCTGGGTGATAATATGCAATTATATGTGGAATATCTTGTGATTTCTTTTCTTTCCCTTTTTTTTTTAAATTTAAAGAGCTAATTCTTAAAGATTGTAGGACTTAACATTTTACTTGAATAATTCATGTTTTTCTGTTTAATAGTTTGTGAAAATTAAAATTTGACTAGTAAGAATGAATAAAAGATAAGGGGAACAGGGTATTTTTAGATTAAATAATTTATGTGTGCAGAGCTTAGTTTCAAGTACTATAATCAGAGAAATCTTTTGAGAGTCAGTGATATTAAATGTAATTAATGGAATTTTAAACTGTTAACAAAATTAAGAATATGAATACATTTGGTATGGCAGCATTTTTATGCCCTAAAGTATGTAATGATTAAGAAATATTCCATATACACACTACAAAAGTAACTGCATGCAACTTATTTCTTCTGAGACATTGTTACACTGCAGTACACCTGTATTTATAGACATTTGATGAACTTTTTAAAATTTTTCTACTATTTATTAAACTCTAGACATTCTCTGGAAGGCTTAAAATTTCACTAAAAGTCTGATTATGTTCCAAATATTCAGTTGAGCATAGGTTAATGAAAATAACAGCAACAAAAAAAGTCTAGACATTTCCGGAGGCAAATTTTTCAAAATTCAAAAAATTAAAATTGTGGATGTATCCAGTACAATACTTAATCAAAGAATGAATCTCGAATATTTTCAATAGTTGCTTGATCTCCACTGAAGATATTTCTGTGTGTACCAAAATGCATCCATGAGACACTGAACTGCCTTATGATAGACTCTGAATACTTTTCTCCACAGAGTTCTATTGCTTCTGGTACCTAGTAGACTAGGTTAGGCTCAATGGCTTTTCCTTCCCTTCCTAGCTCCTGTGTTTTTCATCCACTTTTGCATAAAGTTTGCCTAAAACCTTTAAGTCCAGTAAGCCTAATTTTGAAAACTAATAGAATTTAGTGATGTAATTAGTTCTTCATTTCCAAAGATCTCTTACTGATTTTAACACTTATTTGAATAAAGGCAGTTCCATTGAAAACTAAGAATTTTTAATTTTCACAATTGTTTAGCCTTCTTTCCATTTTGAAGGGTTTAAACCATATTTTGGAGGCTGGAGAGATGGCTCAGCAGTTAAGAGCACTGACTGATTTTACAGAGGGCTGAAGTTCTCATCCCAGCCTCCACATGGCTACTACCAACCATCCGTAACTCCAGTTCCAAGGGAATCTGATCTCCTCTTCTGACCTCTGTGGGCATTTCATGGCATGGGTACACTTATATACATGCAGGCAATACACTTATACACATAAAATAAAAGTCATAATAAAAGCATTTAAAACTATATTTTTGTAAAGTAGCAAAAGTCACTTGGAAGTTCAATCATGTGTGTATTGTTTTTTCTTTACTCTTAATACTTAATTTACAACTCTCCTTATATGTTTTGGCCCTAAGAACCTCATTTCATGCTATGCAAGCTTTTTAAAAGGAATATAGAACTATTTTTCTTTCAAACCATTGCCTTTCCATCTTTCCTAATTCCTGCATAGCAAATTAGCTATTCATACCTGAATTGACATGTCCACGGGGTGCCTCATTGATTCTAGGACACTCACTTTTTCAATTTAGCATTTCCCAAACTGTGATGTCTGTTGAAATTTTCATCTTAGGTACAGTGTTTAAAATAGCATCTAAGTAAAAACTACACTCATTCGATTTAATTAAACATTCACAGGTACAAAAATATTCCTTTTCTTTTAAATGTTTGTGAATTATGTTATAACATGTGAAGCCAACTCTTAGTATAACTGAGCCATCTACCACTCAGTGAGGAGCCTAACTGACTATCAGCTGAGATCTTGTGTATCTCTAAGTGACAAATGCTCTTTCAGGCTCTTGTTTATGTTTTATGCAAACGGCAGTGACTTCAGCAGACCTAACTCATGAGAGTAGGTAGGTTCCTCAAGCTTTCATTAAAGGATCTTTAGACTTTCCAGTCCTTTCCAGGGGATCCTTTTATATAATCATCTCACTTGTAAATAACTGGAAAATATTACATGAAACCATCATAGTCAGATTTTACAGCATTTGGTATGTCTTATGTCAACGGTGGAGCATAGTATAATACAATCAATCAGTCTTTCGGAAGTGGATAGCCACCTTTCCTGTCTTCCAACTTTCTTTCTTATCCTTTCTGCTCTTTTGATGTTTTCCTGGGCTCTGATAACTTTCCCCTTAAGCCCATGTAATGACTGTTATAAAGCTGCAAGCTTAAATTATTTTAATTATGTGAAGCAATAGTTCAACTCTCTGGGCAGCTTTTAATTACCTGGGAGTAAAAACACTACTCTTGTGTCTACCTGAAACACTTCTTTGCAAAAATTTATCTTTGTAAGCTAACCCAATCAGGTGTCTGTCCTTTACAGCCAATTTCAGTAAGAATGTCTAACACATCAGTATAAAAAAAAAAAAAAAAAAAACACAACAATCATCAAGGATGGAAATAGTGTGATTTGTGTAAAGAACTTTTGCTGAATTTACACAGTCCCACAGACAAATGTGATTTTCATAAGAAGTCTGCACAACAACTATGGTACATAGATATTTTTATTAAAAATATGGAGTAAAAATATTTTCATTCTAAATTATAAGTATAAATTTGCACATTATTAATATAGAAGTTCATTTTGTGTATATTTAACATATCCGTAAAACTGTTTTACATTTACTAGCTACTTTAAAAAGGTTTTTTAACCTCTGCAAAAACAGAAATGTTTTTAAATTATCAATAACATAACCTTATTTTGTTTCACTTAACATGTACTGCCTTTGTAAAAAGAAATTTAATATAGAATGTATTTTTAAAGTGTCTGAATATAAAATAGCTCTAAGAAAACAAATGATTACTGAACATGTTTTGTATTCTTTCTGGCTTTGGATTATACATAAGGTAAAATTGCCTTAAATAATGTGGACGACTGAGAATGAAACCATTTTGCCTACTACACTATGAATCTGTTCACATAACTCTGATTGACTACTAACTTCCGATTTGTGTATTTATTAAAAAGCTGACACTGTATATTGTGAGATGTTTATTTTTCTAACAGAGCTTATAACAGTTAGGACAAGGCATTTAATTAATGTACCCTTCTGTTTAAATGTAGGTGTTAATATGAAATTTTGTTTTAAAATAAAATTGTAGAAATCTAATAAAGATGTAAAGAATATATACAGAATGCTTCTTTATTTACCGTGTGCCTCATGGCCCTCCAAGTGACAGACAATAACACTGACACAGAAGACAATGTGGTACTAAGCCTATGGTGTTACTGGCAGAGGACATTGCATAGCGTTTAGGGATTATTACATCTAGACTATTGTAGGACAAAATCTTAGCCAGATTTTGAAACAGACATTCTCTGCTTTCAAGAGACTTCTACCATCAAGTATGGAACAAACGTCATACAAACATCACATTTCTAATATTCAATTGCACATTCTAAAGAGTCTTCAGTAGATAATTGAAATGTATTGAGTTCACAGGTATTGTAGCTTTCTTTTATTTGACCTAAGAGAAAGAATAAAGCAAAAAAGTAGAAGACACATTAAATATTATATAAGACAGAGACTCAATCCTTAGAGAGGACTAAATAATTTGAGCAAGGGGTATATGCAGTGCACCTTTAGATAGAAGGCATGCACTGAAATGATCAAATAGCTACCAGAAAGTCGGTCTCTCGGGAGTTTTTATGAGCATTCATCACAGTTGTGTTTGGACTGCAGTCTCTTTCAGGATCGGAGTCCTGATTTTATTCTGATTGCTACTTCTTTCCCATACCCTTTTAGTAACAGACTTCTTCCTGACTTGCATTACAATGCACAGTAGAGATTGAAAACTCCAGACTCGGTCCTGGAGAGATGGCTCAGTGGTTAAGAGCACTGACTACTCTTGCAGAGGATCCAGGTTCAAGTCCCAGCACCCACATGGAGGCTATGAACCATCCTTAACTCCAGTTCTGGAGGAATCTGAAGCCCTCTTCTGACCTCTGCAGCATTGCATGACATGGGTGCACTCACATACATGCAGGCAATACACTCATACACATAAAATAAAAATAATAAAGAAAATATTTTTTTAAAACACCCCCCCAAAAAAAACCTCCAGACTCCTTTGCAGCTAAAAGTAGGTGTAGTAGAAAGGAAGAGGAATTGATATGTGCAAATCTGGTCCAACTTTCTCTTTCTCCCCTTTTCATCATCTAGGTCAACTACAGAGACTGTGTTTGCCTAGGAAGCACCACGTGAGGTTGACAGAGCTTCCCCTTTACCTAATGATACTCACCTCCAAACTGATCCCTGGCAGGTCAACAATAGTGCTACACCACTGCATTTGACATGATAGCAGACTATCTGTACTCTACTAATGGGTTCTTTATGTAATTGCCTAATTTAGTCTTCACTTACATAATCACCATTTTCCTTAACTGTTCAAAGAAGAAAAATGAGTTACAGAGAGGTAAAGGAACTTGTAAAAATGTGTGGAGCCAGTAGATGACCAAGCAGAATTCATACATCTACTTTTCTTTCCACAAGTGAGTGACTATATGTATTTTGAGAATAATTATGTCAGTTCAGCTATCAGAGGCTGCTTTGTTCCTGTGCTCTATAAGACATGTACAATAAAGTTGAGAAGACACATGTGCACAAATAGTAACAGGAGAAAAAGTTCACCTGAAATGTACAAAGATGGCAGAATTAGGAGAAAATAGAAGGCCTTCAGCAAATGGCATTGGCCTTACAAGAAAAGTGAGTGTGAGCATGCAGAAAGGGAAAGTCAAGGAAGAGTTAGGGAATGCTGAAGTGTGATCACAGGCAGGACAGAATGTGAACCACATTCAGAGGCAGTGTGGATAATGAAAGACAGTAACCTACAAGTCCTAGGTTGTGAAGACTTGGTTTCCAGGCTAGGTGTACCACAGTTTGGGTACTAGGAAATAGTAAACTCTAAAGATTTTATGCTGAAAAGTGGAATTTTTGGAAGTAAACATAGTTGGCACACATTGCTTAAAATATTAATTCTAAACATTAATTTTATACACTTAGATACTAAATGCAAATACCTATTATTTAGTACTGTTAAGTATTTAATACTGTTTAATTCTCACTGATATTAAATTCAAATTCTATTTAGTACTAGTGTAAAAAAGGCATAAAAAAGCAGAAAATTCAAACTCTCCCTCATATGAATGATTTTCATGTAAACATATTTGTATTTTCATTTTGTTTCTTTGTGCTTTAGAATGATTGTTATGAAAACAGTGCATATGCATTATAAAACCTCAAAAATACCTAAACATTAAAATAACCACTATGCTCTAACCATCCAAATGTTCATCTCCATTTCTTTTTTTAGAAAAACACACATATTTGTAACTAAGAGAGAAATACATGACAAATATTAGGTGCTTGCTGGGTTTTATATAGTAAGAAATTAAAAAAATATTTTCCCGTCAAGATTTAAAACATTTTTTTGGTTATTGCCCTTGTGTATATGTGTGCATACATGTGGAGACCAGATGGCAATCCCAGGTCTCATTCCTCAGGTCTTATCCATCTTGTTCCAGAGACAGTGTCTCTCACTGGTCTTTAACTCACCAAGTAAGCTAGATTGACCAGCAAGTCCCAAAGACCTGCCTCTCTGAGTCCCTAACACTGGGATAGCAGGTGCATGTGACCACAAAAGATTTTTTTTTTTTAAATGTGGATTCTGGGGATTAAACACAAGTCGTCATGCTTGTAAGGAAAGCACTTGACTTAGCTACTTCCCCAGCTTACAACCGTGCTTAAGAGGTGAATTGTACTCTACCCACAAATGTGCCACAGTTATGTCTCTAAATTCACTGAGAAAAAAATAAAAGGATAAGATACCAAATGTCAAATATTGTTAACTTCAATATTCAACATGCCCAATTTTAACAAAGGAATGGAGTCAATGTACAGAGAATGTTTATGCCAGAGAATGTTATGTAGAGAGAGGTTGGATAAACGTAAGGTACGACGGGGAAGGGTGGAGTAGCCATTTCAAATCGTGACTATAAAGAGTCTAAAAAAGGAGCATGAAGGTTGTTTTTGTGAGAAAGTAAAGATCTAGACAAAATCTCAAAGAGCATACTATTGGCTATTGCCAAATGGGGGTGGTGGTGGGGAGAATTTGGGCACTAGTTCGATACAGGTGATAAAGGAGTTACTCAAAGAGAACTTAACGCAGCTCTGAAAGTCGCTCCGGCACCTAGCCAAACCGGATAAAACGCCCAGTCTGGTCTCACAAACCACATTTTTCTTGCCAATCCTTGACTTTTAGACTAAATTCTCACTTTATCAAAATATTTGGCCAGACAAAACTAATGCTGGGAAATTTTAAGCGACGTCAATGATCATGCCTTCAGTGATTCTTAAAATAAATCTAATCATCAAAGAAGCAGTATCTCTCAGCGTGTTGTTCCTGTGTGAATATCGTGTTCATGATGAGAGGCCTTTGTGCACTGCATTAGAGAAGGCAGCAGCACCTGTTTTCTGCATGGTTCCCCCTATAGTGCACAAAAGCTGGTGCTTTATTTAGAGCCAGGTACCCAGTTCAGTGAAATGCCTTAAGATATGAAAACTCTAAGACTAAACCAGTAAGAGGAAAACTTTGGTACTCTCTGTGCTGGTTCATTGTTGTTCTAATTATAAATCCACTTTAACCACCATTAAAATCATGGGAAGAATAATTCACCTAAGAAAAAATAATTTACCATTAATCTTTTTCCCATTTTCCCTTATTAAGTGCAGGGTGTTCTAGGACTCCATGGCTCTCACAGAGTAGCCTTTGGGTCATTATTAGCATCACCTAATAAACTGTTGCCATGCAATATTTTTGGTATCTTGCCCAAATTTTCTGAATCAGAAACTGTGGGTAATAAGACCCAGGAATGTACTTTAACTAGGTTCCCTTTAAGTAGGGAACCACTTTCAGAAAGACTGGAAATGGGCACCAGGATACTATGAGGTACAGACACAGTTTTATGTGAGTTCAGTGAGGGTAGGATTGTGCCGCAAACACCTCAAATTTGTATCTATTTCACTGTCATCTCTTATTTTGTTAGAAAAGGGGAAAAAATTTCTCAAGGGAAAATAAATGTGTATGTGTGAGGGGCAGTTAGACACAGAATATATATCCTACAGAAAAAAGTCATAATCTGTTTCTCACCATTGGATACATGAAGTCAGGACAAAAGTTGGGAGACTGTCTTTCAGCTCCAGGGGGACAAGGGAAGAGTGGTCACTTGGCTTGATGGAAAGTGTAAATGTACAAAATACAAATCTGCCCAATTTTATCATCCACGAAGATTCAAATTCAAGTTAAAAATCTATGTGTCTATGATGCTAGGCTTTTGCTAGCTGTGATGTTCTGTGTAATCTGTTTTTCTAGTAACATTAATGGGGCCTAGCATAATTTAGGATATGCATTATTTTAGAGAAAAAAGCTATCTTCTCTTTCAAGTGCTTATGGGTTAGCTAAAGTAAGAATGATTCTCATTTTAGACCAGAATCTAGGTTGACCTACAAATAATAGGAACTACAAAGTCTGAGAAATTTACTTCAAAGAAAATTACTGGGGAGAGAAATAGCAGGCTGAGAGGGTCATTCTATGTGCTACTAAAAAGTCACCAATGGTGAAACATTACTCTCCACTTTTTCTAAAGGTTATTAGAGGGCTGGAGAGATGCTGAGCAGTTAGTTCTCTTGCAGAGGACCCAGGTTCCAGTGCCAGCACACACATGGCAGCTACAACCATCTGTAACTCCATTTCCAGGTGATCTGAAACCCTCTTCTGACCTCTGTGGGCATTGCATGACACAGGTGCACTTGCATGCATGCAGACAATACACTCAGACATATAAAATAAAAATAATAAAGCATTTTTAAAAAGATTATTGGGTTCAGTCATGAATAATAGATTAACACAAGTGTCAAATTAAAGATTCTCCCTTGCTTATTTCAATTATACATTGTCCAGTTATTTGTTTTGTTTGAAGTATGAGTTGCCAAGCAACAAGAATTTTATCTAAATTACTCACAAATTCCCTTTTTTTAAGAAAATAGAATTCTTATGCTTTTGATACACAATAGTATTTAATGTGTCAGAAGTTTAGAACAGAAAAAAAATTGTTAAAAGGTTTATTTT